GGCTTTTCATCGCGCCGCCGCCGTTGATGCCCCCGTCGCCGCCGCCGCCCCCGCCGCCCCCGGCGTCGCCGCCGCCGCCGCCGCCGGCCGTCGAAGACACAGCCCCCAATGACACGGTTGCGGACGCCGCCGCGGCCGCGTCCACGGCATCCGCCGCCGCCGCGGCGTCGCCCGCGCCGGCCGCGCCGGCGGCGGCGGCGCCCAAGCTGCTGCTTGTTGCGCCCAGGGCGTCGCCGCTGCCCCAGCGGTCCCCACTGCCCAAGGCGTCGCCTCTTCCAAGGCTTGTCGCACCAAAGCTAGTGTCGGGCCGCGCGAGTGTCCCCCTCGCATCGCCAAAGCCGCCGGTGGTCGTGACCCAACCTCCTGCTGTGAAGGAAGCCGGGAGGAAGGTGTCCCCAAAAGTGATCTCCGTCACGCCGACCCCGCCCACAGTGTTCCTCAAGCCGGTCGTCAAGCCCTGAGCAGCCAGCACGTGCAGACAACAGGCGCCCTGCCCCTGTACGGGCCACATCGCGCCTGCGAGGGAGCAGGGCCTGCACCCTGCAACACGCCGGTCCGTGCATGGCCGCCCGATGGGCCGGCACCTTCCTGGCGCACCGACCGGTCCCCAACGCGAGACGCACTCGCAGTGCACAGCTCACGCCTGGCTGCCGCTCGCTCATTGCCAATATGGCACCGGCGCGTGGGGCTGGCAGGTGGTAGCAAGTGCGCGGCAGGCGGCGTCGTGGGCCCCAAATTTATTATCTTGTTTTGTGTAGTGGCAGGCACAGCGGGGCGTTTGTTGCACGCTGCCCACCTGTTTTCTTTTGCACACTTTGATTCTTCCCAGCCAGCGGCGCTGCGAGTGATGGCGCCGCGGACCAACGCTTTGCTGGGGCGGCCGCGGCATGGCCGGGATGGGAGTCCCCCTCGACCTTGACAGCCCGGCCGAAGCTGTGTTTGGGCTCTGTGGAACCCACGATGCAATTTTGGTATGACTGGTTCGCTTTTACTCTGTTCTTCTGCTTTCATTGTTTCATCTGCCCGTCAGACAGCTCGTACCCCATGCACCCGGCCTATGCCGGCACATCTGGTGGCGCGTGCCGGCGACGCAACACCCCCCAAACGGCCACATAGCAGCAGGACCAAGCCCTTGCCCACCATCGTTCCATCGTATTAACACAGATGAGACTGCTGCCTTTGCTTTCCTAGATGATGTCAGACAAGCAGGGATGAAGCGTTTGGAGGGCTTGCTGCCGGCCATGCTGCACGTTTGTTGGCAATCGCTGATCCTTGTCATACTTTACAGATTCACAAACCCCCCATCGAAGTGTGTGGAAATGGCGCAACAGATGCAGCGATGCACCCGCTTTTCACATGCTAGGGGGGCATCAGGGACGCTGTGGCGGGTTACACCTTGTGGTCGTGCCGCGCGCAGACGCATCACTGGCCGCAGCCACGCGTGCAAAACCTCCACCACCCAAAGCCCAGATGCGCGCCCACCACCAATTAGCAAAGCAAGCCTATCGGAAACAAGTGGGTACGGACCTGCGGCACGTCGACAGGGCTGCTGTGGTGCCCATACAGCAGCACGCAGCTTTGCCTTCAGAGGAAGGGTATGGGGCCCTTTCCTCGAGCCGTCACACACACCGGCCGCAGGCGCCGCCCGCCCCCCCTCCCCCAAGCCCGGGCGCTGCCGTGCAGCCCGGTCCCAGCGGCCTCGCAACGATCATACTTTTAGATCGCTCCAATCGTCCTCGTGGTTGCACTCCACGACCTGTACATTGTCGAGCCCAAACCCGAGGAAGTACGTATTCGTGCTGTACCGGAAAACGAACAGGATCCGCTTCCCCACGTACTGCTCCAGAGGCACCTCCGTCGCCATCGACTGCAGGTTGTGCGTGTGTGCGACGATGTTCGGCGACAGCACCGGCCCAAGGTATGCGTCACCGGCGGTTGCGCTGTACTGGTCAAAGACCTGGGCCGCGAGGTCCGAGTAGTTGCCCGGCGGCTTCAGCTTGTCGTAGTCATACAGGTCGACGCGGGCCTGGTGCTGCACGATGTCGCTGTGGTTTGCCAGCAGGGACATCTGGCGGCAAAACGCGGCGCGGCGCGGCAGGTGTGGGGGGTTTCGTTTTGGCAGCTCGGGAGACCCGTAGGGTCGGGGGTGAGCGCACTGAGGTCACATGGGGGGCGCGCTTGTGGTGTGCAGGTCCATTATGACATGTTTGAGACGTGGCATGGATACTGTGCACGGCCACTGTGCGAGGCAGGTGGGCTGGTTTGACCCAGGGTCAACACACCGTGTCAACGACAAAGTAGTAGGGCCAGGGGTTGTCCACAAACCAGTCGAAGTAGATCTTCTGACGTTTGCTGGTCACATTGAATGGCGCATTGTTCACCAGCGCGAAGGCGATGTTGCCTTTCTGTATTGTTGGATTGAGGGAGGAAACGAGTGGGTGTTTGCAAGTGCCAGTGGCTTAGTGAGTGTGTGTGTCTGTGAGAGAAAGAGGGGGAGAGAGAGAACATGTGTGCGAGCACACATCTGTGCATTCAGATGCAATACAGAGATAAAGAGAGACACACGCGCAGGTCTCCATGCAGGTGTGTATGTCAGTGAATCTGTTGTGGCACCTGCAACCTGGTCCACCCCTAATCATTAATCAAAGCGCGTTGGCAACAGCCACTGCGGTGCTGCGTGCCTGCCGGGTGCGGAAGTAGCGATTAGGGTTGTCGAAGGGGTAGCCTGGCCGTCCATCGTAAGAAAGGATGGAGCCGTTGTACAGACCTCCGCCACCAACAGTGCTGCGAGGGTGCACAGGGTGGGGGTGCGCTCGTGCTTAGAGGGCAGCATTGGAGGGATTGCATCAGTGATGTGCGGTTTGTACAAGTCAACAGATCCGGCAGCGACTGGGGCCGGGCACACGCTGCATGGGCACATGCAGCGGCGGCGGGAAGGGCTCGTCGCTCCACACGCTCCCTGCACTCAAGCGCAGCACAGACAGACCGGCGGCGCGCGCTGCGGCGCTGGCGAATTAAATCCTGCCACAGGCGAGTCGTGAGTTGGCAGATTGGTGACGGGTTGGTGCTGACAAGGCTCACCTGTTCTCCTTGAGCTTGGCCCAGCCAATCAGCTTTGTGGCCCCCAAACTCTTGTCCTTCTCAAAGTCACCGTTCAGCAGCATGGTTGCCTTGCAGGAGCCTGTAGCAGGAGGGCCGCGGGCGGGGCTGGTTGGGCCTCATAGGCGCACAGATCAAGCTGCGCACCCCTTGTGACGATGCAGCTCGCACCGCCCCTTGCATCCTCAAGCGTTTGCGGCCACAGCCCACTTCCAGCAGTCGCATGCTTTGACCCGGTTGGACCCGGTATCTGCCAACTGCAACAGCATGGTGGCATGTGCCAAAACCAAATGTACCTGCCTCATCCCAGATCCCATGCCCAATGCTCCTGGCGATCCGTGCCAGTCGCCACTTCAAAGCCCCGGTTGCGCGCGTTAGGGCATTAACCAAATCCCAGCCTGTCGCCGGCTTGCAGCGCAGTTTGTCGTGCAGCACCACCCACCGTTCTTGACCTCGGTCTCCATGTAGGTGAACGACGGCGGCGGCGGCGGCGGGCTCGGCGGCGCCGGCGGGGGGTTCGGCGGGCGCGGCGGCGCCGGGGGCCGCGCCGGCGGCGGC